CAAAACTTCGAAAAACTTTCATGCAACAATAATTATTGGGAAGACTGAATATTTTTGTTCAGTGTAAAGTGAACTCTCTACGCTCTTCATTTGGGTCGAATTAGTCGCTTGCTTTGCGTTGACAGATTTTATCGCGCCGCTGCCGCTCTTTCGCTTTCTCTCTCTCTCTCTTTCTCTTTGGCTGAGGCCCGTGTCTAGCATTATCGATGCCTCTGTTCAGTTTAAATCCTAAATCAATTGAGCTGGGGGGGCTCGGGGCCCGGCCCCTATCGAGTCGCCCTTTTGCCGCCACTTTGCATTCTCGATTGGGCGGTTGGCCTATTGACATTCCCATTGCGATTTGTTTTCAACTCACTTGACAGGTAATGGTAATGGCAATGGCAGTGCTGCGTACTCTTGCCAGACAATGGCGCTTTTGTCCTGCTTCTGCTCCTGCGAGTGCCGAGTGTCGACTGGCGAGTGGCAACCCCTTTGCCCCGGCTGCCCCTGATGGATGGCTCGTTCATTGTCACCATGCGGCGGCCGTGACAAATTGCTTTAACATTGATTTAAAGACAAAAACGCGACGACGAGAGGCCAACATTTCACACAACTGCCACGAAACGTCACTCAAACGACGCCCTAATCCCAACAGGAGAGGGGCGCCCCCCGCCGCGGAGTCGCTCAATCGATTTGGATGGCTGAGGACGACCTTGCTGCCGGCGACTGAATAAATTGAATGCGTTTTCAATTTTTAATAAAGCCAAAGCAACAAAAAAAAAAAAAAATAATGAAAACAAGCATTAAGCCAAAAACGAAGCAAATGCAAAAGCATCGAATTACGAATTTTAACCGCACGACGGTGACGGCGACTCGACGACGCTGGCCATTATCCATGATTTATGTGTATCCTGCTGCTGTTGCTGCTGCTGCTGGTCTATCCTGTGCTCTCCTGTGCGTCCTGTTCTCGCTGGGCTTTGCCGTAAACAATTACAGCCTGCCAGGCAGCTGCGGCTTTTTCGTATGTCCTGCCAAAGTCAATGTTGGTCCTGCTGATGCTGCACTCGCTTCAACTCGCTCTCCCTCTCTCTCTCTCTCTCTCTCTCTCTGTTACTGGCTTTTGCGTTTTAAAAGCAATTAGCAGCCCATTTTTGGTTACGTTGTTTTTGCGTTTCTTTCATTTTATTTTTGTGCTGGCGATTTTCAATAATAAAAGAAAGCAAAAGCTGTTGTTGTCCATTGCGGCCTGTTTGCTGCTTTGTTGTAGCTTTTGTGAATGTTCGTGCGTGTGTGTGTGTGTGTGTGTATTCGGGCAAAAAAATGTGCTGCCATAGCTAACAACAAAATGGCGCGGTCACGTGATGAACAACGCCTCCCCCCCTCCCCCTGCTCGAAGCCCCATCATCTGCAGACCCTGACCTCACCCTTCCCCCATTTCCTTTAGTTGTTGTTTCGTTTCAAGGCACATCAAATAATATACAAAAATCCCGTTCCATTGTGGTTCGTCGCATCTCTTTTGTTATAAGTAATGCGAGAGGAGAGAGCGAGCGAGAGAGAGATAGAGAGAGAGAGGTGGTGGAGAACAAAAGAGGTGTATCTGTGTACACATGTAGATGAACTGGTGCGTTATTTACATGTCAATGAATTTTGTTTCGCGATTAGTTTGCCGGCTTTTGTCTCAATTAGTTGGAACAATTCAATTAGATCTGCTTTGTGCTGCAGTCTATCAAAAGCTGTCAGCTACAGCACTGCACTTAAAACATGCGCATGTTTCAGAGCAAGCAGAGTTCATTACGCGCCTTTGAAGTTGGCTATTAAACGTGGCTTAGAGCGAGACGGGAGATTGTTCCATGATGGTCGAACACCATTCAATTACACAAGGTAGATCAGGATTTATATATATTTTGTTAAGACAATCAGTTATTGAAAAAATATTAATTGAGTCCAGACTTACACAATTCCATTTTTTTTTAATAAAGATGCAGGCTAGGGTAAGTTTTCCTTTTGGTACCAACTGTGTATGGTTGTAGGAGACAGTCCGATTTTTTATAGAATGCTGTCCATCAAATCTTTGCCTTTATTTTAGTGGGCTCAACATCTTCTCAGGCGCTTTCTCTATAGCTGCCAAAGTGGCATCAGCTGGTTGGCCAAACAACTTTCTGATTTAGTTTTGGCCAAACAGGTGGCGTCAACATTTCCACTACAAGCTGCAAGTGAAAACAAGCACCCACACATTTAGCACATTCTTCATACCGAGCATGTCAATCAAGTGATTGATCACTTGAACACACAGATACCCCCGCTATCCCGGCCAACCGCCAGGCAGTTGTTGTTTAAGCGAGGGAAACGGGCGGTCAGATTTTAATCTAGCACAGTCGCATTAATAAAACAAAAACTCTCGCAAAGAAAACAAAACCCGATTGTGGCCAGGAGTGAGAGGGAGTCGGAAAAATCAGTCAATTAGTAGTCACTTTGATATGGCCACAGAAATGAGTAGGGGCTGCCTGGCTAATGGAATGGGGCAACGTCGGGCTGGCATCCAAATTTACGCAACAAATATTTTGTAAATAGATAATAAATTATGGGACAGCCTACGGAGGTTGCCCCGAGGCAACTGCTCAGGCTGCCCCAGCAAGCGGCAAGTCAATGGTCTGGTCCATCCATCAATCAACTTGCAACTATCTGAGCGAATGTAAATAGTTCTGTCGATCCTGGAAGGGGGGCAGGGGAGCGGGGGCATCAATTATGCGCCTGTCTTAATATTTATGAAAATTGATTTCGACGGCACTCCGAACTCAAATGTCAATGTCAATTAGAGGCAGTTACAGATGGTATAGAAAGGGGGTTGCCTGGCTGGATTAACTACCAGCACAAACCAAATAAAAATTAATTTAGACGGAATACTCCCGACTGAAAGGCTTCCCAAAAAACTAGCTGACATAGAGAAGAAAACAATTGAGAGCCTCACATGAGAGAATGTTTGTTGCCTACACTGGATTATAACTAATGCTTGATAATCTCATTTGCCGCGTGACATTTTCACAAAGGAAAGCCACAAAGACGAGCTGTATGCAATTCGCAGATATTTTCTTTAATTGATTTTTAAGCGTTCCATAATATGCAGTTGTAGCTGTCGGAATCCCTCATTATGAGCACAAAGGGAGAGGTGTCGACTGACAGTCAAAGGCAACAATGGGAATGGGAATGGAAATGGAAGTGGAGATGAAAATGGAAATGCCACTGCAACTGCAAACCGAAAATGAAATTCAAACAAGCTGAACATCTGACATAGATTTTTAATCCGGCTTCGGGCAAACGCGCTGTTGAAAGGTGCAAAAATCCGGGCACAATAGAAGAATGCCACGGTTCGAAGGGAGGGGGTAGCTGGATGGTGCGCGAGTTGCCAAAGAAAGGGCAAAGAAAATTCAATCAATGCGACAGCTTAGAAATGCGTTTGTCATAATTTCAACGAATGATTGCAAAATATTTCTCATTTCTCAATTTGATGGGGCTCCTTTCTGTGTGTTTCGTTTTGTGTATTTTTCCTGGAAATGAAATGAAATGAATTTTCGAGTTGCGATTTGCTGCGGCATTTCAATAGCCCAGGGCGTGAGCAGAACAAAGATAGATATAGAGCTAGAGACAGTTGTGACTGAGCGAGCTTGCGAGCATGTTGACAGCAGCCCAATGCCGTGTTGGCTAGTGTTATTGACATACATTTGACGTGTTGAGCACAGTGCCTGCCCATTGTCTGGCAATGAAGTGGGAAGTCGAAGGCTTTGAAAACGTCTTCAGTTGCTGGCTCTGACAGTGGCCCTTCTATTCAAGCGGATTACCATCAACCTATCATAAGCATCGATGGGCTAAGCTATTTTTATAAGGGCGCTTAGCTAAAAAATATTTAAAGACAAAATAAATTGAAGTTGTAGCACGAGGAAATAAAATGCAGCAACAGAACAAAGAGATGCGAGGATCCACACAAGCGAATGGATAGAGTTTTATAATAATCGTAATAGTAATAAAAGTCGGGAGTGACCGGCTAACGGTTACCCAGGACCCTCTTCTACCAACATCAAATGAATTTCGGCCCAGGGGTAAGGATGCCAGCAGCTATTAAATGTATAACAATTGCTAAGTATATACTATTCAAGAAACTGCATGACTATAAGTTTCATAACCTAAGATCGATAATCGATCATTTGGAAACAGGGCAAGTTATCGACTATCGGAAACGAACTCGTACTGTACGTACGGCTATATATACTTTAGGTTGTCGCAAATGCATCCTTCTGTCTGTTACATACATTTTCAGGGTATAAATCTGAACGTAATAATATTAATATTTAATTGTAAAAATAGTAAACATAATTTTGTTGAATGAATGTTCCTGTTGGTAGGTAGATAGGATTTAAAGTTATAGATAGATTTTACTGTAGCCAGAAACGTGACGTAAAGGCGCATAGCAAATCCTTATAGATCATTGATTCCTGATAATATAACTATCAGCTGTGACGTCGTAGAAAAAAGAAACTTGGGAGAAAAAGAAGAACAATAAGGCTGAAGGAAAGCGTATAAAAAACAATAAAAACTCGATAAAAGCAAACGCTTATGGCTTTTAAACGCTGCAAGGACGATAAGGTTGACGGGAACGACACGCCGACAAAGTGCTGCTGAGGCACAGGACCAAGCGCAGGCTCAGGCACAGAACGAACCTAGACGTAGCTGGCAAAATGACAATAGATTTGATTTTCCAAGGCAGGAAGCGGAATGGGATTGGGTATAGAAGCGGGACTGGGAATGGGAATGGGAATGGGATTGGCAAGCAGCAAAGGCCAAGACACAAAAGCAAACAATAAAAAAAGAACGTCTGAAAGAAATATAACAAAAATTCAAGAAGCCAGGCAGCAAATAGTTCAACAGACAAAAGAAACGACCAGGACTGCAGAGCGAGAGAGAGAGAGGGAGAGAGAGAGGGAGATGGCTAGTCACAATAAGCGCACATTTAAAAGTGTCAAATATCCTTTTTATGCGCTTTGGCCCCCGACCAACAAACACTTTATTTTTTGTCACGATGCTGAGCAGAAAATTGTAAAGAAATGTTAATGCGATTTGATTTAAAGTATGAAAAGGCAGGGACATAAGAGGCAGAACTGGCGGCGGCAGCAGCAATGGACGAGGCCAACAGATCCCCGGGGCAATCTACGACCCTGGGCATACATTTCCATATTTAAAGGTTACCCAGCTGCGAGTTCTTTATGACTTCATCTCAGCAGCAGTAGCCAGGCCCGTAGCAGGTAGCTTACCTCGTTGCGCCTCACCTCTCCTAGACCCGTTGTCCACAAACAATTAAGCGTTAATATTGCAGAGCTGACTGTGCCCTCTGGGAAAGGGGGGCTATTGTCCACTTGCTGTGACATTAATTTAATCCTTGAATGCATCTTTGACAGGCCCCTCTGCTTTGGAGAAACAACTCAACTCAATTCAATTCAGCTCAGCTCAGCTGCCATTCAGCTAACATCTCGTTAAGCCGAACAGACCCAGCTCCCAAAGCCATGCCCATTTTTCCTTTCCATGCTCCTCTTCTCCCGGCCAGGCTCTGTGGCTGGTGGCGGCGTGTGGCATTGTCAAAGGAATTAGTTTTGTGTTTTTGATTTGCACAAGGAACAGAGATGACTCCATGCCAGCTAGGCTAGCTAGGCCAGCAGCGGTCTGTTGATTGCTTAAATAAATATGAGTCCAGTTGGGGCGTGCATCAGACAATGCCTTTGAGTCTTTGCATTTTACATTTTCCTCAGAATGATGTGTCCGCTGGATGGGAGGGCGGAGAGTAATTTAAGTTTTTGTCAGTGACAGTTTTGGGCACTTAATGAAAATATTTCTGGTTCTGAGCATCATAATGATTGTTTTTGGGGCGGAACGAAATAGTGTTAAATGTTGCTTAATGTGTGCCCAAGATATTTACTTCGTTTAAAGTGGAGGAATTTAAGAAATGAGCCAAGTCCTATTGAATTAGATACAAAGGCAAATAAGTATGTTTAATTTGTTCAGCAAAGAAAAAATCAACCCAGTTCCAGATGAGCTCAAGTGTTCTCTGTTGTCTTTTGCAGAGCCTAAAATGTTTTGGCATAAAGAATTAATGCTAAATTAAATAGTAGATGCAGTAAGGAATCGATTTTCTAAAATTAAGGAAAGTCTTTATAAGAAGTTGTTTGTTTCTGGCTCAAGCCCAGCTCTGCAATTAACGAACCCTTTCAGATTTCCAAACTTACAATGACCTGGCTGTTATCTTAAATTTTGCACCCTATTGCAAGATGGGACAAATAGCACTGGTGAAACTGCAAAGTTCCCATTTATATGGGATAAGTATACTTAATGACAGTCGAACAACTGTATCTTAGCTGTCGGCTTGCGCAACACCTTCTGGCAATTACTTCGAACCTGTTTGATTGATCATCTGTCACATTTTCATTGCAACAATCATATTTCAATTGCACTCTAATGAGTTGCAGCGGTGGCAGCAACAGCGACTCATTCCAAGCGAACGGCTGCCAAAGACAACTTCTCGACAAGGTCCACTTGTCCACTTGTTGCCCGTGTCGCAGTCGTTATGCAAAGTGTCAACATGATGAAGGGGGCAGAGGGTGGAGTTGGTGGCGAAAGACATAGGACAGGGAAGCACGACGAACCGGCAACAGACACAGTTATTAATTAATTAACGAACGCTCGAAATTAATTGCAGCCATTTGTTGCACAGTCAGCTGCTTGCTCCAGTCCGGCCTGGTCGATCTATCATAGCGAGGCAGCGCCGAACCACTTTGGTGGGTTGTGGAACTGGTGGGCTGGTGTTGAAGTGCCACTCAACTGCGGCGCGGCTGCTGTGTCAGTTACAGTGGAGCAGGCGTGCGATTGGGAGTGTCAGCGCCAGTTTTGCCGAAAGGGGAGCGGGATCTGCGTCGGGTCTCGCATTTGAGTTCTCCACAATGTGCGCTGATTGCCCAGAAACTGCTATTTGTGCCAGAAAACTAACCAGAAAACCACCCACCCGCACCTAACGCACACAATGAAAACTTAATTAAGTTGTCAGCTAGGATGGTGGTTCGCAATGCTGAATCCTAATAAAATGCTCATTACTGCGCCAAACTGAACCGAACCGAGCCGAATCCGAGACAAACCAAAGCAAATCAAATGGCAAATGGCAAAGCTCAAGGTCCTGTGCGTTAGTCGTTGTCACCCTTTCGTCCTTGCAGACAATAAAAACAGTTATAGAGTCATGGGCGCCAGCCTTGGTCCTCCTGACGTCCTTGTTGTTGGATTTGGCTGTTGCTGTTTGTGTTTGTGTTGCCTACTAATTTGAATATAAACAAGTTCTGCTTTTGGCTTTCCAAATGAAAATGTTGCGTACGTCCTTTGCTGGATAATTTATGCATATGAACGTGGCGACGACCCCTTCCTGTCAAGCAACCCCCATTCCAACATCCCTGCCGCTGCCACTGTCAGGCCGCTAATGCAAATTTATTTAGACATCGTGACTCCTTTTTTTTTTCATGGTAGGCGTTAGGCGTTAACTGACATTTGTCGCATTTATTCATTGCGACCCGAGCATTGGGAATAAAGTCTTGGGGGTGCGTCTCTATGTGTGGAATATAGTCATAAACTGTGATTTTCTACTGGCCTGATCTTTCTAACATATGACTCATTTTTTTGGGAGGGTTGAAAATTACTTCATTAATGGACATTTTATATAAAAGATAAGAATATCAAACAACATTAAAATATTCTTTTGATTCAGTTTAATCACAATTTAAGTTCTCGAGAGTCCTTTTCGATCTGACTTTGCTCATTAGAAGATTTTACATAAAAGGAATGTGATAAAATTAAAATATTCTTTAGATTCAGTCTTAAGGGCAAACTTCAATTTCAGTTTCTCCTTGTCTAATTTTCGATTGCACCAAGTTTGACCCACATTTCGCAGCTTGTGCAAACAGAAATCAACCAGAGAATCTCCCATAAAAAAGCAGTTACCTAATGAACTCAGGGTTACACTCGACTATATATACTTACCCGAATTTACTTGCAGCTAGTCCAGAAGTCGAAGTAGAGAAAAAAAATCTAAATAACCCTTCGTAGCTATTTCCAAATTATTGGAGCATTAAAATTGAAATGATTATTTTGTGTTTTGCTTGGGTAAAAGCGAATAGCAAGCAGGCAAGGGGCAGCCGGAAAATGAGGGAAAATTGCCAACGGAGAAAGGTCGGGGAGGGTGTGTGCTTGGGTAGAAGAAAATACGTTCACACCTCCGAAGAGTGAGTCAAGGCAAGTTGGGCACAGCCTTGCCGATTTGCGGGCTGCTACTGAATTCGTGGTGCGAATATAAAGTAAACAAAAATAAAAACATAAAAAGCAAACTCGCATTTGCAAATAAATCAGAGGCAAATCAGCTGCTGACAGGGGAAGTATTTATGGATCAATGTGGCAGGAACGAGTGGACGCCGCAGGCTCTCTGCTCTGGTGGGGTGCCCGTTGTCGCTGTGTTTGCCCAAATCCAAGAGTACAGAACAAATTCGTGAAAAATTAAGAAACAAATCGACAATCAAGAGAACTGAGAAAGAAGGAAAATCGCAGCAAAATTGTATAGAGCTTGTTTGTCCAGCCTTTCACCCTCGCCCACCAACCCTCGCTTTGAAGGGTAGCTAGAGTGCTTGAATTTTTTGTATGCATTTTTATGGCACATTTTCAAATAAATTTGGCAAGAGATTAATTCGGGCCGTTTGGCAGCGTGTAAATAAAATTTTCATGAACTTCTTGCGTGGGTATTTTGTAGTTTCCTTGCAAAGATGCAGAGGCAGAGAGTACGAGGCTTTGGCCCGGCTCTGGTTACGCTAGATTTGGCAATGTGTTAAATGTTCTTGAAATTTCAGCTGTTCGTTGGGGTCGCTCGAGAAGTGGCCACGCTTCTTGGCCACTTGAGTGGCATGAAGCAGCTGCCAAGCTGGTTAATTAGGATGTCAAGGTTTCTGTTCGTTGGCGCTGAAATCCAGAAGGGCGGCGTGTATCTGTACCACAAATTATGCCATGGATTCAGTCTTATGACATAAATTTAACAATTATCCGCACAAACTGGTTACCGATCTGGACTTATAGGGAACGTTTTCTAAATCAAGAGTAAGGGTAAAATTATGCCTAAGATAAACTCGTTTTAATTGGTATATTGAAAATGTGAGGAGGAAATGAATAAGGTGTTTTGTGAACAGACAGACAGATAGGCTGACATGTCTAAGGTCGACTTGTTGTTCTGATCATGAATATATATACTTTGCGGGGTTGGAGATGCTTTCTTCTGCCTGTTACATACATTTGCACAAATATATTTACTCATGTTTAATTGGCTCACGGTATAAAAATGTATACTTTTTACTCTACTTTAAAAATTTGTGCGGTACGTAATCGTCTTGGAGACCAAAAATTAAAGTAGAATTTAAAGCCAAATGTGAATATATTTAACTAAATGATGCGTCCACCTCTCTGTTAGTTTCTTACGTTTCCATTAGGGATCGTTAGGCCCAAATGCATATACTTAGCTGCTTATTTAGCTAGTCCCATTGAAATGCAAATTTTGTGGCGTACAGAGAGCACGTTTCGAGTTTCACATAATTTATTATCTTTTAATGCGCCATCGTTTGGGATAAACACAATTCGAAATTCACACAAAAATAATGCGTCAAAATTATGAATTCAACATTTGGCAAATCAATGGAAATTAATTTCATAAGCAAAAACAACAGCCCCCAAAAAGCAAACAAACTCTGGGGTTGGGTCGTGCCAATGCGTTTTAGTTGAAATGATTGAGTGAATTGGTAGATCTGTTCGCGAATGAAATTACATTTTCATTATTTTAGCTCTGCTCGGGCTTGCATTGCGGATAAAATGAGCTCTCTGTGTGGAATACACAATGCGAAACAATTATAAATGCGCATCCCATTTAAATTGTTGTTCTTGTTATATTTGTTGCTGTTTTCAGTTTTTGGACATTGGTGAATTGTATGGAAAATCAAATGATGCTCGTGCCACATATCAAAGCGGCGCTATGAAAATGCATGCAAGTCAAATGGGCCTTAAATTTTTCAGTGTGCACGACAACAACAAACAAAGCAAACAAATAAACAGGCTAACAAACGGCAGGACCCGTCAGATAGCCAGACAAATAAACGCACATATTTACAACTGCATTTGTGGAGAAAGCTTTGGTATCAGGATGTGGGTGAACTGAGTGGGCCGTGTTGGCGGTGCACACAATTTGTAAAGCTAACCCGAACCAAACTGAAGCGAGCTGTTTTGTTGCATTTTGCGCATAATTATTTTTGCATAATTCACTAGACTCGGCCCGATTGCGAATGGAAAGTAATAAAAATTGAGTTTCAATTATGGCAGTAAATAAAACAAAAACTTACAGGCGAGCGAGGAAAAAGCAGATCCAGCCGTCGCCTGAGTTGATTTTCTTCGTTATAGCTGCAGCTGTAATTTGTTGTGATAGTAATTTATGTCAACTCCCTACCCTATGGGGGGCGCATCTATGCCACAATATTGGATGCTCTTCAATTGAGCCACGCTCTTGGTGGCCGTCCAACTCGCCGTTAATTAGTAGGCAATGTGTGTGGCCGGCCTATTGTCTTATACCCTCTTGCAAAAATAATGATAATGATAGGGGTATGATGAGTTGCTCATCATAATTTTGATCGGCATTAAGATATGAGTCGACCCACGCACAAAAAAAAAAACATATATCGCCCTTAAATCTAGAAATTCCCTGAACTATAGATATGTTTGAATATTTTTTCAAATCTTACTGCAATAATTTCTATAAGTATGAAAGCACATTCACATACAATAATAAATTAAAGATCAAAATTCTAAAATTGAGATTTATTTTCTAAAAAAAAAGTACTCCAACTTATGTTTTTTTACTTAATCGAAAAGTTGAAATTGGATGGAAGAATGTCTAGAATTTAAAGCAAACCGGGAAGGACGAAAAATAGCGGCTAGGTACACATAAAATTTATTTATAAATACACAATTTTGGCTTCTTTGCCAAATTAGAGAAATTATATTTGTTCTAATCCGTAGTTAGGATATCCGTACGATTTTGTCCATTTTAAGATATCTATTAGAGCTAGCTCCTCCATTAAACGAAATCATTTAAATCAGTAGAAATGTAGATATCAAAACAAACATTCTTTGTAGGTCTCGTTTAGCAATTCCAGATTAAGATTATTCAACGCTTTGGTTTCTTGTCAAGTCTAGGTTAAAATTGGTGATAAAAGATAGTGTCTTACATATCTGTACATTCTACTGTAGGTTTAATTACGACGATGTTATAAGAGAGTGCATAGGGAAGGCTAAGTGTTCCGTTTGTCCAGGCTGCAGGGTATCTTAATGTGATTGACTTTTTCAACTCTTGTGCACTTGTGCTTAATCTTTAAGTGAGCAAGAACTTAGTAGCTGGTTTGAAGTAGTGTTTAAGATACAAGCCACAAAATTCTTACAAACTTACTTAAGCTTTAGGTAAAGCAGACACACACACACACATACTCGCACATACAGTTAATGCACTTCCGATTCTGTGGTTCGGTTCCATTTTCAGTTGAGAAATCTGCATAAGATAAATGCAAATGCAGCAAAGTTAAAAAAGTTCAACCTTCAATTTGGTATTTATGTTATTGAACTCGCCAAGATTTATGAGTATCTACTCAATTTCTATGTGAAACCAATGACTGCAACGAAATGGAAATTTATGTGCGCCACATAAGCCGAAGCTAACGCCCCGCTGCAGGAGCAGCTCTAGTTCCTTATGCTCCATCCGCCTGCTTCGCGTGGGTTCGATTTACAGCCACTTTCGCCGCATAAAACGTCGTAAAGTTTACGCCGTTAAATCCAAAAAAAAAAAAAACACCAAGTGAAATGTAAAAATTTATAAACCGCAAAAATATATACATATAAATAAGTGCAGCGTTGAGCAGGTGGCAGGTGGCAGGTGGCAGGTGGCAGTTGGCAGACAGGTGGGAAGCATGCGGTTGCTACCCTGCCCTGCCCGTTCACATACCCGTCTCCGACTCCATCTCCATCTCATTCCCATTCACATTCGCATACACATTTGCATTTCTTTTAGCAACGCTACGGCCATGTTGCCTTTACAAAATGGCGTTTGCGGCGCGCCAACAAAATGGCGGAGGCGTCAACGGAAGTTGCTTTTCGCAACACACTAAATAAATTGCAAGTTATTTGAGCAAAAGTTGCAGCAGTCGCCGAGCTCAGAGCTGCAGCTAGTACCTGAGACCGCAGTGAAGACGTCCTCATCGTTGTAGCTGCTACGTGTGCTGCATTTCGAGCCGCCCGCCCGCCCGCACTCCTCTGCATGTCCCGAAGTCCTGTGGCGCAGCAGTGCTAAATTTATGGCAACATTTATGTGTCGTGTCGCGTGCGCGGTAAATACCGGAAATGCCGGAAAGAAGTGCATAATAAATGACGTTATTAACCCACATGTACACACCCCACCGGTCCCCCCGTCCACCAGCCCACCAGCCCACCAGCCCACTAACTCCCACGACCCACATCCCTAACGTCATCGTCTGGTTGGGGCTTGGCTCCCACTGCGATAGTTATTAGGTATGCAAGTGTCCGACTGCAGGCAACATATAACCAGAACCTTTGCTCCTATAATTTGGCTATCAATGTACGATGTATTTTTAAACTGTTTTCTCAACCTCCCACTCGCTGGAAACTAGGTACGTTCTGTGCAACTAGTTCCAAATAGCCCCAAAGGTTGTTCAAGTCCAACTTTAACTCCCTCTCCTCTGGCTGTGTCTACGCCTATAATGAAATCAGCTTTAGCCACTTTTCTTTCTTGACTGGAATTACACTTCTGGGCTGAGTGTTCCATACACTTTGTGGGAGCCTGCAGCGCAGCTAGCTCTAATTACATTTTTCGTACTTCCGTTTGTGCCTGCTAAGAAGCCGCCTCTTTCACAGCAGCCTTGTGGCTGACGTCCTGGCGCCTTTCACTTTTCATTGTGGCCTCTTTGGCTTGGCTTACAAATTTTCTCAAGAGCCGCATAATGAGCGTCGCGCGGCGTATGATTAATATTTTGGCGTCTTTTATTCGCGATGTGTTATGATTACATATTATCCATTATAGTCCGTGGCCATAAGAGGCATTGCTTTAAAATGCAAATCACGTTTCAGTCCAAAATGCCATATATGTGCACACATGAATGTGTTCTGCCTGGACCCTAACGCCTACTGTTCTTGGCGCCGCCGGAACAGCCATCGGTCTTATTTACATTTGGCCGAAATTCGAGCACAGCTGCCAAATACATTTCAATATTTACGTTATAGCGAGCGGGGGCACCGTGTGCCGCCAGATTCGATACCCATCTGTATCCTGGTGCTCGTCCTGTCGGCGTATAAAATGTGCAAATTACCTAAAAGAACCGCAGACGAACACAACGAGACCACAGAACAAATTTAAATAGACATATTTTTTCGTCCCGCTGTCCTGTCTGCACGTCCCCCTTTTTTATATGGTTTTGGTTTGACGTTGTTGTTTTGTTGTTGTTTTTTTTTTTTAGCCCGTGGTCGGGCCCTATGAAAATTTACAATATCTAACGTAAACTGTTGTTGGCTGCTGCAAATTGGTGCGGGTTTCTGCGGGTTTGGGGCAACCCTCGTCCACTTTCCAGATGAGCACGAGCGTATTTTATTTGTATTTTTAGCGCTAAAACAAATTGAGGCTCTACACCCAGCTGTCCAGCTGGTCGTCCCAATAAATGTGTGTTCTTTGTGGTTGCCACAAGCATAGGGTATATTAGGATTTCAAAGTTTATAGCATATTTTTTAAGCGAAGTTCAATTTAAAATTCCCAATGGACAGTACGTTCGTTATTGTTGAATGGTGCTATGTATTAATGACAGTTATCGGCTTGTGATGAATTATGGAAAGTTTGATCACCAAGAGCATAACTGATAGTCGGAACAACATTAGTATTATTATTATCAACATTAGCTCGATTACTCTAACCCACTTAATTAATAGTTGCAAAGAACATTGGCGTATGTTTTCTCAGGCTAATTACGTATCTAAGTAACCAAATCTAACTAATAAAATAAGTTGATCTAGATAGTTCACATACTCCGATTATGCTCTTTCCTGTTCTATCGCTCCAGAGTATTGAACACTTTTATTTCTGTGGACTTTTATTCAGTTGTATTGGGACCACAGTTGCGTATCATAAACAACAGCCAAGCGAGACACAAGAACAGTTCGGTTGGCATCTTCACCCACCACTTTTAGTTTGCAGTTATTGTTTGGTTATTTAAGAGCAATTCAGCCATGTTTAGATATTGATAACAACCATCTAGTCGGACAACTGGACAACTGGACAGCTGGAAATCCGGCCAGGCTCACCGCCCCAGCCATTTAAACGAGGATAACAATTTCAATTGATGCAATTTTTGCTATTTTTGCATATCGCTAACTATCTGATATATGTGGTAGTTGGTTTTTTTTGCCCAGCTCTAAGCCCTGGGAAATGGTTTTTAGTATTAAATAAAATAAACGTTGACGTATAAATTGTGCAAATGTTCGTCCAACAATAAAGCCGATGAGGAGCCGGCAGTCTACTCCAATTTGACAATGTGTAGCAAAAATAATTGCATTGTTGCATGGGCTGCAAAGTTTGCTGTTCAAATTGAGGCAGGTCCCGGGATGGGCACAACAAATGGGATTGTTATTGTTATATCCGCTGTGGGCATCAAGATGAATCCAAATGAATGCGAATCAAAACCTTTTGCGAGAAGTCAAAAGTGAATTGGTCTAAAAACAAAAATCTAAGTGAATATAATTCTTAGACTCTAAATAACAATACATTTAGGAGGTCATTGCGGTCTTGCTAACGAACAAAAAGCACAATTGAGATGTTTTATGATGTTAGGTTCGATTCAATGCATTTTTTATTTGTCTTTTTCCAAAATGTATTTTGTTTTAAGCTGTCAGTTTACCTTAGTTAGCGATTAGATTAAGTTAAAATATTTAATGTGCTAATTATAAATTTCTTTTATACATAACAAATTTATTTAGCGGGCGTAAGTTTTCTTCAAACATAATATATTTGAATCGGTAATCATTTTTTCAGATTGAACTATAGCAAGATTTTACACTTAAGAATTTTTTTTTGATTAGCTTGCAGTTATTAATAAGTGAATTGATCCGTATACTGGAAAAGTCTGAGTTTTTATAAATTTTTTTCCGCAGGTCCCGCCCGGGAATAATTAAGGCAGTTTGAAAATGCGTAAAATATAAGCCTTGTGTTGCGAATCTTGAAGCTGAAACATAAACTTCGGTTTATAAAGCGTATTTTCCATTAAATAGAAGTGGATTTCGAGGAAAACTTACGATCTAAAATTTCTCAAAGATCTTTAAATGATGCTAAACAATACATTGCAAATCTTTTCGTTAAAAAGAATTGGCAAAACATGGGCTCATTTACTTCTCATGTGATGAATGAGTTTTAGGCAGATGAGAAAACTTTACTCTTCCGAACTTTGACCCGCATTTATCATCCTAAGGGGGGAAAAGTGTAAAGCAATTATACTTCTCATCAAGATCTTAGTAACGAAAACAACACGAATCCTTAGCCTCCAAATCTTTGTCTACCATTTATACCAAGGAGCAAAGAATTAACCCAAAAGTGCGAAAAGCCCCGCAAATGAATTTTTAATTTCGAACCTCCCAAAGCCCTCACTACAGTGAATATTTAAGTTTCATAGCCTATGGCTGTGCGT